CGAACCGGCGACGGCGAGCGAGCGATCTGCTGCACCGCCGGCTGGCTGCTAAACCCCTACGCCAGAGACAAGCTCTGGCTTGGGGTTTAGCAGCCAGCCCCTTGAAGTTCAAGCCCCGAAAACTCCACACTTAGTAATAAAAATTACTTTTTTTTTGAAAAGTTTTTGGACTTTTTTGGCATTTTTTTCCTTCATATATAGGCTCAGAGTTTAGCAGCCAGCACTTTCGAACTTCAACCCCTGAAAACTCCACACTTAGTACTTAAAACTAAATGTAATTGATTACTAGTTAAAATTAAAAACTAGATTGGTGTAAATTAGGACTTTTAGAATATATTTTGTTCTAATTTAGGGTTCAGCAGCCATCCAGCTCGTTCATAAGACGATCCCATACTCCTCACAGGGGGGGAGGTGCACATTCTAGCCATCGCCTCCATTTAGTTGCTTCATTCCGGCTCCGGGATTGGAACCCGCGTCTCCAGAAACATCAGATGGCATTATGTACTGCCAATCGGAGCCAACTGACGGCTTCCGCTGAAGAGAGTTTTTGTTTTATATATATATTTATTAAACCCGGCGGTGGAGCCGGAGAAGTGGTGGAGCCGGGACTTATCCCTCTTCCTTCTCCTGCGCGCCGATCGCTCCGTCCCGGAAGGCGTTTTCTCTCGTGACTGATCACACTTTGATTTTTCCAGGTTCACATCAAAGGACCCAAATGACCGAACAATTCAAAGACCTTTTTTTTTTAATGCTGCAAAACACACATTAAATAATAAAAGGAAGGTAAGCTATCTGATGTATTGTGGGTACATGGTGACGCCCCGTATTTTACTTCATGTCCAGTCTGGTTTTGGATAGAGTGGAGAAGGATTTCAACTTCTGCCAGGTTTGTATTGCTATCTGGAGCTCGGCTAGGCCTCATTCACACAGGAATCGGTCGGCACGTACAGCTCGGTGCTGCGTGCGCGGCCGTATCGGGCAGCTCCCGGGAAGCACAGGCGCTGCGTGTGATTAGTACGCAGCTCTGCGGCCATACACCTCCCTGCGCTCACCTCAAGTGGCGGTCCGTACGGGCGCATGTTTCCTGGCTCGGACACAGACAGGATCCATCCTGTCAGCGTACGTGTATGCTCACCCGCGCGCGCACAGACGTGAGCATAGGGCGGCGTACGGCCGCGTAGTCCCATAGAGAAGGACGGGGGCTGCGTACTAATCACACGCAGCCCCTGTCCTTCCCGGGAGCTGCCCGATACGGCCGCGCACGCAGCACGGAGCTGTACGTGCCGGCCGCTTCCAGTGTGAATGAGCCCTTACCAAGATTTACATGAGCTCTTGGCCAAATGAAACGACAAGCTTTATACATAAAGTGAGTGAAAAACAAATGTGTCTACGTTGCCCCTAGCAACCGCAGCTGTCACTTTTCTAGGGAAGGATGGAAATACGCCATATGATTGTCTGCTGCATGTAACGTGCAATCCTCCTGTACGCTGCTGTGGTAATTGGCTGTGTTGTGCCTCCACCTGGTGGACAGTTTCGGTATGACATGAAAGGCAACTCATTATTATTATTATACAGGATTTATACCCCAAAAATCCCCCCAATGTGTGAACAAGCCATAGGAATAGTGACCTACCTCCGTCTGAGTGTTACATCGTCGGCAGAGAAGCTAACAATCTATAGCAGAAGGGATTGCTATAACCGCACAGGACTGATGAAGGGGGGTCTATGTATGTTCAGGGCTGCATGCTGTGTGATCTGAGCTAAGGGGGGAGGGCGCACCCAGATTCCTCTGTAGACCAGCAGCCGGGATCTAGGCACGGACTCTCGGGTGCTGGTCCGGGTACCGGCTCCATGTCAGACACAACCGGCATCTTCAGGAGGGCTCAACAATGGCGGCCAACGTGTTCCCGCACTACAGGTGCTCTGTACTGCAGGGGCGGGCAACTCCGGGCCTCCGGCTGATGTAGAACTACAAGTCCCATGAGGCATTGCAAGACTGACAGTGACAGTCATGGCCCCCAGAGGCATGCTGGGATTTGTAGATACAGCACAGCTGGGGGGCCGGAGTTGCTGTACTGTAATGCTTCCAATACACGGAAGGTATTTTGGAGCACGTTGGATGGTTTGCATAGTATAGACCCCCGCCATAC